GATTAATGTCAACTAAGTATCATAAGTAAATTGCTCCCGGTTGTTCAATCATTTGATAACCAGAGTCATTCTTTGATAAATGATCACTATGAGTCAGACTCAAGAGAATTTGATCAATCATTTTTTCTGTCATTAAGGCGGAGAACTGAACCAAGAATTCTCTTTCTTCATCATCAATCGAATCACTGTTCGCGACCCGGGATTCTATTTTATCATCAATCCAATCCCTGTTCCCATTTTTTCTTTTTCTTATCAATGAATAGATCTCTTTACTTGTATGACTTAGATATCTCGTATTTCTCAAAACAGTGATTGGATTGATGGGATTTGGTATGAGATCGATGAGATTGATACTCAAATATTTCTTCTTAGAACGTACTGATTTGACCCCATAAGCGGGACCAAGCATGTTGTCGCCAGAAGCAGAACCCCGTATTTCTTTTAGAGAATCTCCTAATTGTTCCAGAGCAACTAGAAAGATATTCTTTAACTAGAATGAATTCGGTTCAGATGTAAGATACCTATCCATCCCTTGGATGGATAAAGAGGGAGGGCAGAGCTTTTGGTTTTTTCATGTTGTTAAAGAGTTGAACAATGATTTTTCGTATTGTCAAAGATTTGAACAATGAAAATAGATGGCAAGTGCCTGATCGAATTGATTAGGTCATGTAGGAACAAGGTTCAAGTCTACCGGTCTGTTAGGATGCCTCAGCTGCATACATCACTGCACTTCCACTTGACACTTATCGTAATGATAAACGGCTCGTCTCACTCTCTTCTCAAGAAACAAGCGGGCTAGTTCTTTGCAAAATTGTGCTCAATTTCATATGTGGCAATTCCGCCAAGATCTCTTCCTTAGTTGGGGGAAGAATCCGCACGAATCGGATTTTTTGAGGAACGTATCGAGAGAGAATTTGATTTGGTTAGACAATGTGTGGTTGGTAAACAAGGATCGATTTTTTAGGAAGGTACAGAATATGTCGTCAAATATTCAATATGATTCCACAAGATCTAGTTTCGTTCAAGTAACAGATTCTAGCCAACTGAAAGGATCTTCTGATCAATTTAGAGATCGTTTGGATTCCATTAGTATTGAGGATTCGGAATATCACGCATTGATCAATCAAAGAGAGATTCAACAATTAAAAGAAAGATCGATTCTTTGGGATCCTTCCTTTCTTCAAACGGAAGGAACAGAGATAAAATCAGATCGATTCTCGAAATGCCTTTCTGGATATTACTCAATGTCCCGGTTATTCAATCTGCTTCCGAAAGATTGGATCATAGTCTCTGACCATAAAAATGGCTGCATGTGCAGCAACACCAACTATGAGAAATCCACCAATCCACATGTGATGTGTAAACAATGACAGTTGGGTCCCATAGTCAATAGCTAGATATGGATAAAGGGGCATGAAATATATATGGTGAGCTACAACAATGGTTAAAGAGCCTAACTTAGCTAGGCTAAGAGATAATTGAGCATGCCATGACGTGGTTATTTTTATACATATGTTTAGAAATCATTTACCTAAATTCCTATTTTTGTAAAATAGGAGGATACGCAAAAATAACAATTGAAAGAATAAGTTCAATTGAAAGTTTTTTATTCATCTATCATTATATAAGGCACGAACAAAGATAAAGTGACAGGCGCATATAAAATGAATTTGATTCATCATTTGTAACATTTATCCATCTCGCGATGCCTATCAACCGATTCATTGAGCATAAACTAATAATACGAACTGGATTGTGTAACTTCACTCAAAAAATGAAACTCTTTTTGAGTTTTTATTTGTGAATAAAATTTTTCTAGAATACAATTCAAAAATCATTTTGTTTTGATCATTACTTCGCTTTTTGAATTGTATCGAATTCATTTTCTAATTTAGAGTGAACAGTGACCTAATAAAACTTTTTTTTTTACCTTAATAAAGTTTAATTCATTAAATTCAGTAATAGATTCATTCTCATAATATCTTGAATGAATGTGAAGAAAAAATGTATCACATGGATCACTAGAAAAAAATCTTTTTTTTGGTCCAATTAGATTCTAAAACTAGTAATTTCTATTATCATTTTTAGTTTTTACAATTTGGCTTTCCATATTTTTAAATAAAGCCTCATCCTTGTAGCTAGATCAAGATTTATATATCAATCCAATACAACAATGCATCACAACTATGGATTCCAATTATTTTATTCTCTCTTCGCTTTCTTTCATCGAATACGCTCTACTACTCTTATTTGTTACTGGACGATTAACCAATTAAAAAAGGATTCCAACAACAACAAAAAAAACTGCTTCTACAACTACGAAAAGGAAATTTCTAGATCTCGCGCATCTACTTAAGTTGTGGGAATACGATAATCTCTTTCATTGTAAAAATTTTCTATTAATATAGAGCATCATTTTACATCAACAGGTAAAGGAAAGGAAGAAATAAATTATTTAGCACTTCATTTCAATTTGATACTAATTCAAATTGCGTTGCTATGTCAGAAGAAGTATAGTTATACTGATTGCCTTTTATTGATCTCATCTTTTACAGAATCGATCCCCTTTTACTGTACAAAAATATGTGGAGTTGAGTATGTCTAGAAGAACAGGAGAACGTCATTTTGCTGATATTATGACCAGTATTCAATACTGGGTCATTCATAGCATTACTATACCTTCCCTATTCATTGCGGGTTGGTTATTCGTTAGTACTGATTTAGCTTATGATGCATTTGGAAGCCCTCGGCCAAACGAATATTTTACAGAGAGCCGACAAGGAATTCCATTAATAACTGGTCGTTTTGATCCTTTGGAACAAGTCGATGAATTTAGTAGATCGTTTTAGGAGGCCTTGATCTAATGACTATAGATCGAACCTATCCAATTTTTACAATACGATGGTTGGTTATTCACGGCCTAGCTGTACCTTCCGTCTTTTTTTTTGGGTCAATATCTGCAATGCAGTTCATCCAATGATAAACCTAATCCAAATTATAGAGCTATGACACAATCAAACTCAAACAAACAAAATGTTGAATTGAATCGTATCAGTCTCTACTAGGGGTTATTACTCATTTTTGTACTTGCTGTTTTATTTTCCAATTATTTCTTCAATTAGGAAAACGAAAGAAAATAAATAAGAATTCTAGGCATTCTCTTAACCCATTCGGAAGGATCTTATCTCATAATTATCCATGACTGTTTATGTTACCACTTGATGAAATTGAAGGAAATTAGAGTAAATGGCCGATACAACTAGAAGGATTCCTCTTTGGATAATAGGTACTGTAACTGGCAGTGTTTATATATAGATGTAGGAGGATCTGTTTGGGAAGTAAGAAGCCCCTTTGACATCTCTTCATTTGCAAATAATTCTCGATGTGAAAACACAGAGCCAGGGGGCTGATCTTTGAATAAGAAAAAGAGCGGATCTGCAGGGTCCCAAATAAATTGGCTTATTCAAAAAAGGGATTGTTCTTTGGAATATCTATCTCGTGTTTAGTACTGCATGGTTCCACTCTGCAAGAACTCCGAATCATTCTCTTGAAGCTCATCCTCTTCATCATAAATGAGGGGTCGGGTCATTGATGTGAGGTGGATCCAGAAAAGGGAGGGTTCTAGTTATAATCCAGAAATGATTCGTATATATATATTTCACAGAAACGCGAAATTAAAGTAGGCGACAAAGTAGATGAAAGACACGGAAATAAAGGTATCATTTTCAAAATTTTGTCTAGATAAGATATGCCTTATCTGTAAAATGGAAGACCTGTTGATATGGTTTTCAACCAATTAGGAGTACCTTCATGAATGAATGTAGGACAGATATTTGAATGTTCGCTCGGGTTAGCAGGGTTCTGCTAGACAGACATTATCGAATAGCACCTTTTGATGAGAGATATGAACAAGAAGCTCGAGAAAACTTGTGTTTTCTGAATTATATGAAGCCAATAAGCAAACAGCGAATCCATGTGAATTTGAACCCGAGTATCCAGGAAAAAGCAAAATATTTGATGGAAGGTCACGAAATCCTTTTGAATTGCATAGAGAAAGTTGGAATAAATCGGATTCATGGTATCATTCTTCCTGATACTGATTACCAACAAATTGAATAAAAAATATATCGATTTGATAAAAAAATCATTATCAACCGAAATTGTTGATTTCTTAATTTTAATCAATGAACCTGGTAAAGAATCATGATCAATTTTAAATTCTAGGGGTCTTTCTGTATTTTCAGATAAAGAAGAAGGAAGAATAGATTCAGAAAAAGGAACAAAATATTTTAAATATTTTAAAAATAGAATTGTAACTAATACTAATGTTCAAAAAATTAGTAAAAAATTGATTCAAATAATAGAAATCAGTAAAAAAGTACCTCCATGGTTATACAAGTTAACCAGCGAGTTGGAACAAGAAGCAGGAGAAGATCAAGAAAACAGACCATTAGATCATGAACTTCGTTCAAGAAAAGCCAAACGTGTTGATTGATTGGTGTCTGTAGCCATCACTAAGGGAAGGACGGCAGAAATCATATCCCTTCCCGCTCTAATCCTAGGATAGTCTCAAGTAGAGATCTTACATGGAAGGGAGTTAGCAAGTTGGTAAGGGGACAAAGGCGGAGAAGGAGATATGGGACTTTGATGGGTTTGAAAGAATTAGCTAACTATTACAATAAGATATCTTGTTACTCTCCGATCAAACGTTGGAGGAATCTAAGTTTACATCGTCCTCAACCCATCACTCAACCCACTTGTGCTGTGTGTGTGTGGTCATCTCCACGGATACTGTAGCTCGGTCCTTCTACGAAATGTTCGACTCTGGTAACAAAAATTTAATTTCTTTTTAAGTCCGGTTTCGAAATAATCTAAAGCAAATGAAATGGGAATGACATTTGCCACGCGGATTTTTCAAGAAACATTATTACATAGTTTAATCCTAGTCAGCGTCAATCGTTAAAAAAAAAAAAAAAATCAGGTTTTTTGTCGGAAGCGCGTTTTTAACTTCGTGCCTGCGTTGAGATGGCGAGAGATGGTAGCCATGCCTCATTCGTCATTTTTTATGCAATCCAAAGTTTCTGTCCTTTTACCCGCCCCACACAATCTTTATTTTTCAACGTAATCACCGCCATTTTCAGCGGGAATTTCCGCAACCCTCGAAAAACGAAAATTTGGAAAAATCCATTGTTTCTTCGTCTCAGCAACGATGGCTTCTTGAGTACAGAAATAGATGTTGGACACGAGTCAAATTGAGCCAGGTACGAACATTTGCTGGTATTCTCAATTCTAGGGATTGAAGTTATGCTATCCTCTGGTTGTCTTGTTTCCTTGATTTTAGGTTTCTATCGTGATTGAAAATCAGGTGTTTATGTACTGAATTTGATGTTTGAAGATTTTAATTGAGCTGTCTGTAAAGCTAGTACTATTTTGAGGCTCTTTCGGTTTTCCCTTTCCCGGAGTAAAGTTAACTCGAGGAACTGAACGCAATTTTTCGTGTTCATTTAGTTAGTCATCCTGAATTTTACGGATTTGTTCCCGGATTTAGTTGGTTTTTATGGCTCAGCCCCATTCGAAGCAACCAGGAAGTCAGAATTGTAACCTCGGGGATTCTCACTTGAGATCTTTATCACAATCCACATTTTATGGTACCAATTGTTTGCCCCCTTTAAGCCCCTTGCCTCCTAGTGAATCGTCATTGGTTTCATCAAACTCTAATCTCAAGGGCGCATCAATGGAGGAAATAGATGTCAGTTCCCAAGGGCCGCCATTTGTGCCTTCTTTTCCAAGGGAAAGCCTATTTCGTGGCAATGATTGTCTGATCTCTCGCAAAGGGCATCGCCGCTCAAACAGCGATGTTCCATTAGGATTCTCGGCAATGATCCAGTCTTCACCTCAGTTGCTGCCAATAAGTGGCCAGGGAGTAATGGGGAGAACAATTATCAAGAGAGAGACTTTAGGAAATGATAAGCCTGTTAGGATGAAGGGATGTGAAACGGATTCAGCTAGTGATGGTAGGAGCAATGCTGAGGGGACAGGTGAAAGGAAATCAAAGGGAGAGGTTATAGACGACTTGTTTAATTCGTTGATGAATATGGATCGTGTGGATGGAGTTAACTCTTCTGCTATGGAAAATAAAGATAAGGACAACATTGTTAGTGGTATGACGAATAATGGTGGTGACAACAGCAATATTGAATTGGAAAGAGTCTCGAGGCATGAGACAAATTCTAGGGAAAGAGTCAAAAGGAGTGCTCCAGGAGATATTGCTCCCCCAGCCCGACACTGCAGGAGTCTTTCGATGGATAGTGCGTTTGGAAACTTCCACTTAGGCGAAGAGTCACCAAAGTTATCTACCTGTCCAGGTAATTGGGGGAGTCTGCTTTCACCAAACAATTCAGTGAGTGAAAACCCAGCTAAGTTCAACTTGGACTTTGGAAGTGGTGAATTTAGTGAAGCTGAGCTGAAAAAGATTATGGCAGATGAAAGTCTTGCAGAAATTGCTTCATCAGACCCAAAACGTGCAAAGAGGTATCCGGTCTATGAATTATTTTCCTAGAACATCCTTGTGTGCATTAAAGGTTAAAACATTACTCGCTGGGAACATTCTATGCCTGTTATCATTTTGTCTCAGGATATTGGCTAATCGTCAGTCAGCTGCTCGTTCCAAGGAGCGGAAGCTGCGTTACATCTCGGAATTGGAACACAAGGTGCAAACTCTTCAAATGGAGGCAACCACGCTGTCATCCCAACTTACTGTTCTACAGGTGCATAGTTGAGGACTGATGCATTTCCCCTTTGTTATTTTTATTGATACAGTCATTTGGTAATTGGCACTTGTGTGTTTCTTTTTTTCCCAGAAAGACTGTGCTGAGCTAACAGTTCAGAACAATGAATTGAAATTCCGGCTTCAATCTCTGCAGCAACTTAGAGATGGTATTTCATTTTCTTCCGCAATTACATATGTTCATATCTACCTGCAATCTGAATGCACAGATTTTCAACTGGATATGCAATTATGCATGTGTTTGCAGGGTATACTTCTTACTGGACTTTTAGGCTAGGTTGTCCTTTATTAGATATAAAGAGAATGTTTGGCACTTTTACTGTTTTATGCATTTCTATGGTTATGTTGTAGTGTCATCTTATCTGAGTTCTTATATGAAGGATGAAGTTTTATCTGATGTCTGACTTTTGTTCCCGCGAAGGTACCTGTTACTTATCCTTTTGGGCGGATTTTGCATGTACTGCTTGATTTTTGTTCGTCTTTTTTATTTAGTTGGTCCCAATGATTCACTTCAGCAACAAAGCTGTGGAAATGATAACTATCTATTGATCATAATAAGAAACGCTTTTGTTTTCAGATTATCAAATCAAATAAAATCATTATCCACTTTAACCTTCAAAATGAAAGGGGACTAAGGCTACTTCACTTCAGACAATCAAGCAAAATCTGCTAATCCTTTCTTTTGCCAATAGATAGGACCAGCTACTGGAAAACTATGAAATCTATGTCCTTTATTGGCGGATTCTCTTTATTGGTGTTTAGGGGGAAAATGGTGGTGATTGGGGGTAGGGTTGATTTGAGAGCCTAAACTTGCATAAGGAAGTTCACGATATTGCATGGTTATATTGCTGTTAAACTTGTGATTTGGGAACATCGTCATCAGCATTTTTTGTTTGGGCCACCTTTTTCCATTTCATATTTATGAAGCCTGTTCTGCAAGTCTGCTGAAGTTGCAGTTTCCATTTAGCAAATTGTGTGGTTTGTTAGAATTCATCGTGACAGAATCCTGGATGGTGGCAGTGCAATATCTAGAGCTATGCTATATGTCGCTTGTGGCCTGTTGCCCTCTAGCCATACTCCTATAGGTTGTTGTAGTATATTTAGAATTATTGAAGGTTAACCAAACCTGTGTTGCTCATCGTTTGACTGTAATGCATGCCGGCATGACTTGACACTTTTCATAAGGCTGAGAAATGGGCACGACATGGCAAGCAGTCGTCTCTGCAAGACTAGTTCTGCCAAATCTCAGTGTAAGATTGATTCTGAATATCAGGAAATGAAAGCAAGTGTTCATCGATTATGGAATACAAATAAACTACAATGCTCGAGCAGGAGCAGAACTCCAAGAATCTCCAGACCACTCTTTGAATACTCACTACTCCCAATATTATGTTTAGGAGACAAGTGATATGACGAGATATTAAATAGCTGAGAAATCATAGCAAGTCTAAATTAATATATCACATAGAGACCTACATCACTGATCACGCAAAACTAAGTGCACGTTTGGTAGGTGATAAGTGATTATAATCCATGGATACTACAGAATGTGTGGATAATAAGTGGTCATACTATAAAATCCGTGTTTGACCGAAAGTGATTGTAAAAAATTCACTTCCCATACATGCTCTAAGTACCATCAGTGAAGGTCAATGTTGGTCTGCTGCTGATCATTGCATGTGGTCAATGGGCTAAGCTGTGTGGTTACCTCTTGATATATTTAGCAGGGATTTCCAGTAGCTTTGTCATACTAGATACACCTTGTTTTGCTTCCCATATTTTCTTCTATTTCATGGACTGGAATTCTGGCACTTGGATAAGTGAAAAATCTGTTTTACATTTTCTACTTTACATGGCAGCACTGCACGATACGTTAACTGCAGAAGTTCAGCGTCTAAAGCTTGCAAACACGGAGCTCATGGACGAGGGAAGAGCATCTAGTTGCACGAGCCAGCAGGGACAGATGAAGCACCACATCTTTCAGATGCAGCGCCAGCAGCCCAATCAAATTCAATGATTATCAGTTTCAGTATTCACTGGCAAGACCACAGCTTCAGCTTCTCCTACCTCGGCATAGTCTCGTGCAGGAGGGGCCAATCCCGAGTTTAGTTAAAGTTATTTTTTTCAGAAATACAATGCAGTGTTTTAGCTTGTTTTAGTGGAACGCATCTAGCAGAAGTGTGTGCTCATTTTGTTACATATATATTTCAAATTACACAGTGAATAATCGTTTTGTCCAGTGGACTGGTTTATAATACATAATGGGAACTGCAGTTTGACATGAGAATTCATCTCACATAAGAATTTTCTGTTGGTAATATAAATCACTTTCAAGATTTATGTTTGAGAAATATTAAAAGTAACTTATAATTTATTTTTCAAAGTCAAACATTAACTTTAATCACATATAACCTATAATTACAATTTATTTATCCATTATTCATTTATATCATATTATAATTTTATCCAAACATAGACAGAGAGATTGAAAGGAATATAGCATCAATTCACATTTTTTAATGGTTGAACTTTTTCCATGTGACCAAGGCTCCACCATTTCTTCCTACAAAAGCATTCTGAGTGTTGCGGGCATGTTTGTGTCGACTTGATAATGCCATGGGGATGAATTTCATGTCGAATAATGATAAAATATTAACTAGCATATAGTTTGTAAGAATTTGAACTAGTCATCTCGACAAGGTTGACATTTTAAGATTAAAAATCAAATCATAGTAGATAATAAACAAATATTTTATACATTTTTGAACATGAATTTTTTTTAACGCTAATACTTTTTTTATTAGCATAACAGCACGGAAAGCTTCATTGGTCGCTAACAAACGACGAATCGTAGAAGTTTAGGAGTGGTGAGATTTTAATACGAAAAAGTACGAAAGCGAGTTAACTTTAACTCAATTGAATTAAAATGTGTAGATTTTTATTCAAGTCTTTTCTCTTTTTGGTATATTGTTGGGATATGATAGAGATAGTAAAACAATATCAATTGCCACACTAAGAAGGGATTACTAAGTGGTAGGCAATCCATGTTATCATTCATTTAAGAAATTAGGGGAGAAAGACAAGACAACCAATTGAAGACTAAGACCGACATTAAAGAATTAATAAGTTGTACGAAATCTTACTACTAATTTATTAAATAAACATATTTAATTGAATTGTTGTCATGTTACCCATCAACCACATGATGTGCATAATAATCCCACCAAATGCATGACATTGTACAAGACTTCTCCGTTCTTCTTCTTCTTCTTCCTTCTTTTCTTTTTTTTTTTTTTAGAAATTGAAGTAATAGTGTTACGTTCTTCTTTTCAGGATAAAACTCAATCTCAGCTCTAAACATGTGAATTTATAAATTGATAAAAAAAAAGTGAACAGTATTTGTGAGTACATTGAAAGTAAAAATTGATTCTTTATGAATGGTTTATAAAATTTATCGAACGGAGGCTTAATTACATAAATCATTAGTAATGAATATGTGTAATGTCTGAGCAAGTCCAACAAAATGGATAATTAGCAAAGGAATTTAACAAATTGAGTTGTCAAAAACCTAAACAATAAAAACAATGATCGATTTTAAGAATTATTTAACTTCGCAATATAATTTTATTTATAGACGTAATTAATAAATGTTGAGCATTAAGCAATTTATGGTCGAAACAAGTTTATAACATCGAGATCTTTTGTGATTTTTTGAGTTTGAATTCTACAATAGTTATTTAATTAAATTAATTTGTAATACTAATAAATTTTAAATTGATTAACTTTATAAAATGTGTTTGATAATATGAATTGCACTATTATTATCTATAAAAGAAATTATTCAGGGTCCCACACATGTAATAAATAGAAAGTTAATTGGCATGGTCAAAGTATGATCCAATTGTTTGATAATTATTAAAAAAAAAAAATACTATATTACAAAATTAGCAATCATTTCATTATATCCGTCTCCTCTCAAATTTGGTAATTGGTCGTGTTCATAGACCTGTCACCCAATAGTTAAGAGATAAGAATAGTTAATAATTTTTTGGTTTGATTAATTGATGGCCCATTAAAAGTCATAAAGAAAAGTAAATGTAATGATTAATGAGTGATTTAATCACTTCACTGAGCCCTGAATCCAAAAAATTTCGAGATTACTTCCAATACAAGCAAAAGAGGGTCCAAGGTAAAACAAGAGGTAGAAAGCTAGATTTATTTACTTCTCTTAATTTTATTATCAAATCGAGTAAATTAAAATTAAGTTTGAAATTTCATATTACATTAATGTTATCATCAAACAAATATTAAATACCATTAAGAGCTTCTTTAGTGGTAATATAAAATTGAGCGTAAATTGATGCTTCTAAAATTACTTTTTATCATTATTTTCATTTCAACGAATCTAAATTTAAATTTTGCTCCAGCAAAAAGATCTAAATTCAATTTTTGCTTCTTGTGAATATTAAAAAAATATATAAAAATGCATTTTCTGTCAACAATGCAATTTGTATTTCTTTTACATCTTTCCGTTGGAGAGATTTTTTACCACTTTGAATATATAAATCTCAATTTAGATTTAAATTGATATTCTGTTCCTAATGAGCGAGATAAAAATCTATCACTGTTGATGTGGTAAGAGAAGCTTAGTTATGATTTTCTGAATTTATGATCGTTTCAATGAGATTCTCTTGACACTTCAATTGTGAGAAGTTTTCATTGTGCTCACCGAATGGCTGAAGATCTAGACTCTTTGACTCCCTTTCTTTCAATTTTTAATGTTTGGAAATGTTTTCTTTGAAGAATGTATGATTGGAAAAGACGAAAATATTTTCAATTTATGTTTAATATTATTTTATAAAAAATATGTGGTTGAAAATACGAGTGAGAATTGAAAAAAAAAAAAAAAAAAAGGCNATTTTAATTTAAATCAAAATGAAACAATTAATATCAACCATATATTTTATGGGTCTCATAACTTTTTAACTACACGTTTCAAAATTTTTTTATCACAATCTACTAAAAGATCTAAGCCCCTGTTTTTTTCTCATTTTTGAAAGAATGAGAATGAAAAATATAGTCTTTATGTATCCCACACAAAAGATAGAAATTCAAATTTGGTTGCTTGATGTGATGAATAACGATCATATTTTTCATTTTGATGAAGAAATAATGGGAACCAAACAGGGGCTAATTTTAATCCATACCAAAGACTCTTTTAATAAGATATAATCGAACCCACTTGATTGGAGTGAGTGAAAAAGTATTTATTTATCAAAATTCTAAATTCCCCGAACTATATTTTTAGAGAGTGTTTAGTATGGATTAAAATTAGATTTTTTAATAGATTGTGATAAACGTTTTTGAAATATGTTGTTGAAAAGTTGTGAAATCAATGAAAGATGTAGTTAACATTAATTGTTTAACTTTGACTTAAATTTTAATCAGAACCAAACATGGACATAAAAACTGAGTATGATTTATTGATAAGCCATTTCCATAAATAAATTATAGTTTAACAACAATACGTCACAATTTATAATCTTTCAATTTTATTCTTTTTTTATTAAAGAACAAAAACTAATTTATTTTAATTTTCAGGTTTAGCGAACGATCAAGTAGCAACTAAATATATAAAAATAAGTTAAATATTTAAATTAAATTCGCTTCAGGTATAATCTAAAGAAATGTTTTAATTAACTAAAAACCTCTTTACAGTAATAGTTAGTCATGGATAAGGCAGATGCCCGTTTTCTTTTCCAAGATAGAATTGTTTATTTGTTCCCTTTAATCATGAGATTAAGCAACATCAAATAAAGAGAAGAGTGCTCCAGGGTACATCTCCAAGTGGTAAAAGATGAGGATGGAGAAATCCAGCTTTGCTTGAAACTGCCGCGTCAAGAGTTCGAATCCTAAAATATGGATTTGACTTTTGGATAAGTGCAAGTGTACAAGCAGCCTTCCACCCTGTACCCTTGGAGGCATAATCTGCGATTTACCTCCCTCACGATATTCCAGGATAGGGGTAGTGGGAGACCCTTAATGTTAGGGTTTAACCATTTTTTTTTTTTTTAAATAAAGAGAAGAGAGGCCAATCTTGTCGTGTTCTCGTGACTGACGACCCTACTAAATTAATATTTTAAGGATTAAGCAACATCAAATAAAGAGAAGAGTGCTCCAGGGCACATCTCCAAGTGGTAAAAGAGGAGGATGGAGAAATCCAGCTTTACTTGAAACTGCTGCGTCAAGAGTTCGAATCCTAAAATATGGATTTGACTTTTGGATAAGTGCAAGTGTACAAGCAGCCTTCCACCCTGTACCCTTGGAGGCATAATCTGCGATTTACCTCCCTCACGATATTCCAGGATAGGGGTAGTGGGGTACCCTTAATGTTAGGGTTTAACCATTTTTTTTTTTTTTTAAATAAAGAGAAGAGAGGCCAATCTTGTCGTGTTCTCGTGACTGACGACCCTACTAAATTAATATTTTAACGTATTTTATACTGATATAATTGCACAGAACTTGAAAACAGGAACCGGACCTGTTCTTCGACTGCTGCATTAGCGGAATCGAAAAGCAAACGTGAACTATATTTAAGGCAGGCATTGAATTCCGACTTCCAAAAGTGCCCCCTTTTGTCTGCTACAATTTCCGGCACAATTCAAAAAAGGGCCTAGTGAGTAGTGGTTAGTCGAAACAAAAAATACACTCTTTTAGTCAGAGAGAGCGAGAGGGAGGGAGGCAGGGAGAGGGAAAACGAAGAATGGGAAAATCGACCATATCATGCTTCAAGATCGTCACCTGTGGCAGTGATTCCGTCGACAATGACGATCTCCAAAATCCCCAAGTATACATCTATGCTTATACATTTTTATTCATTTTCTTTTTCAAATTTAACTTTGTGTTTATTCTATGGTTGAGAGTTTACATTTTGGACTCGAATTCATGCCGTTATTTTCTGCTCCTTTTTTTTTTTATTTAAATGTAGAGTTTTGCTCTCTTTTAATGTTATATGTTTTTAGCTTTGGTTTTGAACTTATTTAACTTGATTTATTTGTTGTTCTGATTTGTTAGCTCGTTTTGCACTATTTCTCGCTTCTCTATATTTGGAATCTCCTCTGCGGGTTTCACTGGTTTCTTTCTTCAGTGTTGTGATGATGATTCATAAGTGTGAATGACATTGTACAAGGCAACGTAGTTGACTTAATCAATTGGAATGAGGATGAGGGTAGAAGAAAAGCAAATGATTTTGCTGCGTATTCACTGTCATTTCTGGTGCAC